TGGATCTTTTCCACTAAATGATATTTATTTGGGAAGTTTACATAAATACCACACACTTATTATGCATCTTAAAATTTAACACCTAAAGTTTGATATTTACATTTATTACACTTTGGTGTTATAAACCTATGCATTAAAAGGTATATTTCACTTTAAACAATTAGTAATAGTTTTATTTTTGATGTGGTGTCAAAGATTTGTGTTTGATATTTACATTTATTACACTTTCGTGTTATCAAACTATGCATTAAAAAGATTCTTGTTGCTACCAATTTGATTGGGTGGGAGGGGAACCAACATTGAGCGTGTAAATATTGTGATCAACTATAACATGCCTGATTCTGTGGACACTTATTTGCACCGGGTATAATTTTCTTTGAGGTTTAGCCTATTTTTTTCATTTTTTTTTTGGTGATCTGCTGACACTGCTTCACAGGTTGGTAGAGCTGGCAGATTTGATACCTAGGGTCTGGCTTTCACCTTCGTTTCTTCAGCTTCTGATTCAGATGTTCTTAATCAGTTTGGATGTTTTTTATTTGCATTCCTCTTTGACTTTGGATGAGGCAGCCTGAATTTTTTTGGCAAATAATTTTCGTTCTTATAGGTTCAAGCAAGATTTGAAGTTGATATCAAGGAATTGCCCAAGCAATATGATACTTCCACTTACAGTAAGTTACCTTCCTCTTCTACACTAGATACTCTTTCGCTGTTTTTGCTCTTTCGCATCTCATGTCTTTCTTCGTGTGTGCATTGTGCAGCCACAAATTAAATGAACGAAGAACAGCAGGAGCTCGTCCCGGTCTCGTTCAATCGATACCTAAACAAATGGTCTTCCCTTTAATCTCATTGCTTTTAAAAGCAAGCTAATTTATTTTTAAAATAAAATAAATAAAACATGTAACATGTTCTTAAAATAAAGGTAAAAATAAAAAGAAAATTTTACATGCATATCCCTCTCAATGCCCATGTATTTACATATATAACACCAAACCTTACCTTCAATTTTTACATGAATACCCCCGTACCTATGCATATGAAAGAGTTGGGTGGTATAAATTTAGAAAAGCAAAATTTAGATTTTAGATATATAAATACATAGGAATCGGGTGGTATGCATATAAATGACCCCAAATAAAATAACAGAAGTGATCCCAATTAGTAATTTACCACATTTTGGGACTGATAAATCTGTCACATTTTGCAGGCAAACTCCGATCACCGCAGTGGATTCAGCTTGTTGGTAACAGGCATGTTTTACTCGAAAACGGGAACTCGACAACCTTGCCGAATTGAATGTAATCGTTGGCTTCCACCCAGAACGAAAACATGTGGGTAAATAGGTTTGTTGACTAGAGAATCCGAATAAGTCGACAGAAGAACACGTCGTAATAACTGCGACAGAGTTATGCTTCATTTAAGCCAGAATAACTCCATATTGGCTAAAAACCGCCCGAAGCTTGTAACAAAGGGGCAGCCTCAAGCCATACTACAGTTGATCTCAGTATATGTCAAAGTTGTCACCAAATCAATATGTTGCCCTCTCATCTTGGTGAACAACTTAGAGCTTTATGGTCAGGTCAAACATGAAAACCTCCTCCAACAATGCCGCTTCCAAAGAAGACAAAATCGACCGCTCAGTCGAAACTACTCACATGAAGTTTTGTAGAGTATGCTTTGGGGTCATCAGCAAACGAAAGGAAGAAGTTGAACAGAAGAAATACAAAGTCCATAGCGCAAGCGCAAAAAAACCACTCACCCCTTATTTATAGGGACACAACAGAAGCACGTCAATTTCGAAGAAGAAAGATCACGTCAACACATAATTTGAGAAACATAAAATAAAATTTATTCTAAAAATACAAAAAAGGTTACATTTGGACTCTAGTCTGACGAAAGGTATTTACAAATTGGTTTTTGGCCGCCTTGGAAGAGACAAAATCTTTCCTAAGAAACATCTTATACAGCTTCTGCCACCTATGTTTGAAAAGACCCGCCCGATTTGCCTCAACGTGGGCCCTCTAGATGAAGGCCTCTTCCTTGATTTCAAACATCTCCCAACAGAGGGCCAACATTTCCCCCAGCACTTCTCCAGAAGAACTAACATCTCACGTAGATCCTCCTCTCGCCAAACCTTCACTATCCAAGCTAGAGAAATCTCCAATTCATCCAAGAGGCGAGCCAGCATCCTCGAGACATCATACCCCCTTGGTCATTCCATAGTGGGTCTCAATAGGGCTGGTCAGGTGGCTGACCATGTTCTCTTCGCTCTCGGCTGGAGCTTCCTGTGTTGAATCAAATGTCGCAGTTAGGTTTTTGTCGGCACCAATAAAGGGTAAGCTTTTGAATCGTACGTCCTCAACTGTTGCAAAAGACAAATACAAGAAAGAAGACAAAAAGAAAATATGAAAGTCATAAAACAAGAAAAAACACTCGCACTCAAAATTCTGTCCATCTTGAATCGAGAGACCTAGACTCCACCCTCATTCAGTGGCGAGAGATCACCGACAGTTCCTTTCATTCTCTCTTTGTAACTCGATCGACCGATGGGTGGTACCAATAGCTTCTGGAGCAACCCAATTAGCTTGCCGACCCGAGATCGTGACATGATTTTATTCTTAACTGACAGACCAACGTTGAACCATCAACTCCTCTCTAGCACTAGCTCAACTGCTTTCTGAGACCACTCAAATTGAGTCAGATGACACACATTTCTTCTTTGGCTCACCCCACAGGCGGCGCTACTTGATCCCGAGGACTGCAAACATTTTTTTTTCAGACCATGAGTTTGGGCGAGGGATTCAATCCTTTCTCCATAAAGGACATTCAGAGAGTCAAGCGGTTCCTAAAAAAGCCACGCAGAGTATTAGAGAGAGTTCATCATGCCCTATTTATGAGGGTCATGGACAAAAAAATCTAAAAAGTTTAATTGTTGAATCCTTAAATATGATAATTGAGATTTACTTTTCTATTAAAATTCTCTTAGTTTTGCTGCAGTTGTTACTTTCAACAAGCACTAAAATCGAAAAACTTAATATGCACACAAAAATTATGCAACACAAATCTCAAGGTAATTTAATAGTCAGATTATAGCCTACAAAACTAAGAGCCTTAATGCCCAAAATCAACCAAGCTACAAAAGATAAAAATGGCTAGGTTTGGAACCCTACAGGAGACGGAGGCATCCATACCGACTTACATGAAGAAAACGATCAAACCAAAGTCTAACTCCAATGCTCTAACCACACCAACATAACCAGAACCACCCTAGAAGCTCCTTCAAATGATATCAAAGGTCAATAATCGAATAAGCTAACTGTCCATCCCAAACAAGAACCAACCGGCCACCCTGAACAAGAGCCGACCGAAGTCGTTTTAACCGACCTATCCGGTGGCTACCGAGCGATAGTTTTAGACAAACAAAAAGACTAGAATATCATATACAACCCCTCTAAAGCAGGGGTAAAACATGTAATTTTACATATTGTCCTCTTATCTCCTATAAATAAGACTCCATTGTGTATTACGAGCTTTTTTTCCTTCTTTTAGTGGTCACCCCCTCTTTGTAACCCAAATCTTCAATAATATAAAATGGGCCATAAAAGCCTGTGAATACCCTAGTTTGTCTCAAAGGGCCAAGTCGCTATGCAGTTGTCTCCTTTTTCTCTATTTTCCTTCTCCCTTAGTTACTACGTTTTATTCTTTGAGTGTGTCTTCCCAAGATAAACACAGATTCAACATAATTAAATACAATCTCCCGTTTATTCCAAAAAGAAAAAACCAAGTTCTAATTACAGGCTTAAATTTACATGTTCAACAAACAGTACAAAGTGTAATAAACTCAGTTTGCAAAGCAGAAAATTAGTAAACTGCTAACTATAAACGAATTTGAGTTGACAAATCTCAGCGTTTACTATAAAACTCAAAAGAGAGAATACAAAGTTGTGAAGCTGAAATTGAATAATTTGGTTTAGAAGTAAGCTTTGCTATGAGAAAAACGTGCAACCTTTAATTCAAACAAATAAATATAAATATATTTTTTAAAGAAAAACAATAATTTATGCCTCCCTTGATGCGCCATGGTGACCTTCATGAACAAATAAGCTTAGAACCTCAATCACTATGGGTACGAATGCGAACAATTTTGTTGATAAATTGCCTCTCTCGGCGATAGCTGTTTTCAGGTTTCAGCCAAAAAAAGAAGCAACAGTTATTTAGATCAAAAGATAGAAATCTGTAGCTCGTATTCATCGCTAAAGTTCCAAACGCAGTTAAATATAACTTGAATACAATAGATAAAGACGCTCGGGCTCATTTGGCGGGTTGTAGAAAGGAAATATATTTTTAAATTATTATTTATTTCGTTTTCACTCGGTTTGACTCCGAAATATGAAATAATCACTTTCGAAGCATGATTAAAGTGTTTGTTTATTTCAAAAATTATATTAACCTTTGAAAGAATTTACATACATTACCACTCAATTCTTATGTATTTCCATATCAACCATCTAAAATTCAATTTTTTATATATGACACCCTATCTAGGGATGAAAAGGTGTATTTCATGGTTTAAAAGTTAAAATAGAGGCCCTTCTGATGTGATAAAAAAAAATTGGGTGTTATGAATGTGAATAGCAAAGTTTAGAAGTTAGTAAATACATAGGAATTGTGTGGTATGTATGTAAATGCCCCTTAATTAAATCTAACCAAATGATAGAACCTAAAAATTCAATCCTTCTTATTATATATTTTCAAGCTTCCTAAGGAACCAACTGGGCCCTTATGGATCAAAATTTTGATAGAGTAATTACAGCAAAATAACACATAGAAGAAAGCAACACATACATGACCATGGCAGAGATGCAGAAGCACAAGACGCCAATAGAAAGATGAATCAGAAAAGAATGCCAGAAGTTTTCCCGGTCTAGAACCATTCTCTCAGAGACGAGTGTTACGGCACCAGAAAGAAGCAATACTATCCAGCCTGATGGCAAGCTTTGAAGAAAGGAAAATGAAGATCCCTGCATAAATAAAAATAATAAAAAACAAATAAGAAACATAATGATAAAGTGTAAATAAAACAAGAATATGAGAATACATGATTACATACCTTGAAGAAACGACTTATAAATACTGCAGAGTATGTAATTCTCAAAATCATATCTTCAATCGGTCAAGGAATCACGTTAAAAGGAGCATTTTCATCTCATGACATCAGAAGGAAGTAATAAATTCATTCATTCGAACATTCTAATGGAATATTTATCAGTTATTGCACAAATTTATAATCATAATTAATACAGATATTATTATTATTATTATTATTCCAAAGCACTGTATAAAAAGCAAATAAAAAGCTACAATGAATATACCAAATAAGACTTTGGAGTCTGTTTGGAATAATTTTTCGCTCCTTTCCTTCTAGATCATTGCCATGTATTTGTTTAACTATTGCTTTCTTGGACATTTTTATAGTGGAAAGCATACTTTAAGAATCAAATCTACAAAAGTGAGGTAGTTCTACGAAAACTACTGTCTGACTTTAAGAAAAAAATACCGCACAACAACTTCACAATCACCTTTATAGAAGGCTACAACAACCCCAAATGAACCCATTTATGTAAATGCATGAAAAAGACCTGATTCCACATTGACCAATAATACTCCCCGCCTATCAACGGTTCTACAGAGCACAAAAAAATAATTTCAAGTATCACGGTGCAAGCATCTATCACCAATATTTTACAACATTACCACATTGTCCATCTTAGACTAAATTTTTTACAAAAAATAAAATAAATGATAAAAAAAATTACAGATTTTTTGTCTGTGAACAATTCAATGACTACTAGTCTAATATTACTTCAAATTTTAAATAATAGGCAGGTGGTTAGAAAGGCGTTGTAGCACAAGTCAAATTTACACAAGTATTTATAACTATTTTCTAAAGATAATCACCGTGTCATATACCTCTATTCCGGAGGGATCATAGAAAGGATACTTATAGAATTGGCGACAATTAGACCAAAAGCTCCAGCAGACCCCACCAAAATAATATTGAGTATAATATATATTCCAGAAAAAAGGAACAATGAAAAATTTGATTGTATTAATTGACTTTCATTGGCAACAGCATGCAAAAATGCTTCGGATGTACCTGCAGCACAATATTAAAATATTAAATTCAATATTAAATCTATGAAAGTGAATAAGTCAATAAATAAGTAGCAGGAAATTTCAAGATAAAGCTGTGCAGCAGTAAAGCAATGATTTCGGAAGAACTTAAACGATGTTACGAGAAGTCTCCACTTCACAGCTAAATAAGTAGCAAGGCAGCACATAACCAATAGTGTCAAAGAACTCTGAAAATTTATTAAATGAAAAAAATAACAAAAGCATTAATAGATATTAAACATTGGCAAAAAACTTTTAGTTACCCTTCCAACTTGTCTTGAATTTGAATCATCATTTTTGTCAGCAAGAAAACTAAAAAGAATGCATATCAAAAAAGTGCCAGAGTTTCATTCAGTAAACTATGCGCGCGCAAATATATATATATATATAGCGATTGAAGACTATGGTAATTCTATGTTAGCCACATCCTAAAGTAACAAAAATACATCCTGCTAATTTCCTCCCTCTCCACAAACGAAAATTAATTTTTGACCGAAAATTAGAATCCAATGACGTGTTTTGATAAATTCCCTCACTTTATCCTACAGGTAATTGGAAATATAAATGCCACTATATGAAAAAAAGGGCAAGCCGAGCAGAGACTTGTAACTGAATCATTATTTATATTATGTTTTGATCATGAATTTCTTATGACAGCACGACGACAGGATCAGCAATTGTAAGATTCTGCTAAAAAAACAAAAACACCATCTGATTCCCATGTATTTACATATCTAACACTGAAACTTAACATTTTACAATTATAACACCCAAATTTCAAATTACATCAAAATACATCAATTTTAACTTTTAGAAAGTGAAATACACCTTTTTTATGCATAGGTAAGGTGGCATGTATGTAAAGATTGAAGTTTGGGTGTTAGATATGTAAATAACTACAAATTGAGTGATATGTATGTAAATCTTCCCAAAAAAATAAGAATGAACAAATGTGAGCTAATAAATTTTCTTTCTCCAGCATTTGCTTCTCCAAAATGGAGTAAGAACAAGCCTTATAATATGCCCTAGAAATCATTCGCAGTATCAATAGAAACAGCAAAACAACCACTCAACCTACAGTACAAATTAATAGTGGTGTACGCTCAAAGGTTCAAAAACAAAAAGGTAATTTCTAGATTATGCCTTCAGAATAGTGCCTCTAAAAGCAACACGGGAATTAAAGTAGGAACAAATGAACCAGACCACTGCAATCCCTTTAAAAGCTGGACATATTTATTCACACGTCACTAAATTTTACCTTATTAAATAGCGAAATTATGTGATTTTCTTGTGACAATCAAATCATGGAATTTGACAAAAATGAAAAAAAATTGATTGAGATATTTTTTTATTTTTTTTTGAATTTCATAACTTGGATGAAAACTTGACAAATGGAAGTAAAAGGGTGCAGGCTTTGTAAATAGCAAAGATTTTGGGGGCATGCCTGAAATTTTGAATTTATTATGAGTGCTAATTTAAAATGAGTTTTTTATAATACATTAGATACTAAAGAGAGTGAAAAATATATGTATAAACAAACCAAACAAAGAGAAAAGAAAAGTAAAAATTTAATTCAAATAAAGCGTATTAAATATGAAAATTAAAAAGTATTTTTTTTAGAGAAAGATATTCAACATAGGTGGATGACACAATGATAAATTTTTCAATGAAATTTTCTGGAAATAAGATCAACCTTAGTGATCTTAATACCTTTAATAAAATAAAACTTTATTTTTTTATCACGCATCAGTAAAAAGAAAGTTGATGAGGCTTTAAAAAAACCAATGGTAGAAAATCAGTAGAACCTATTGATATCCCAATTGAAGTGTGAAAATCTTTAAGAGATTTGGGAGTTTATTCGCTTACTAAACTCTTTAATATTATTTTAAAAACTAAAAAGATGTCTGAGCGGAGGAAGAGCATTTTGGCCCCCTTTTTTAAGAATAAAGAGGATGCAAAAGAGTGCATATTAGAAATGAATTAAGTTAATGTGTCATACATTAAAAATATAGGAGAGAGCAATTGAACATAGGTTAAGATATGATACAAACATTTCTCATAATCAATTTTTATTTATGTCGAGCAAGTCTACCTTGGACGCTATACATTTATTGAGAGATGTGATAAAGAAGCACGAAGAGAGTAAGGGGGATCTACATATGAGTTTTATTGATTTAGAAAAAGCTTACGATAAGGTTCCAAGAGAATTCCTTTAGAGTGTTCTAGAAAAAAATAGGTGTTGATATGACTTATATTCAATTCAATAAAAATATGTATACTTGACTTGTTACTTGTGTTCAAACAGAAAGAGAATTGACCAAGTATTTTCCTATGTCAGTTGTACTACATCAAGGATTAGCTTCATGCTAATATCTTTTCATTTTAATTACGGATAATGCTACAAGACATTTAGAGCAGGATGTACATTGGTGTATGATTTTTGCTAATGATGTCATTCTTGTGGATAAGAAAAAAAGTTCAAGAAAAACTTGAATTATGGAGGTCTACCATTGAAATCTAAAGGTCTTCAATTGAGTAGATCTAAAATTGAATACATATAATGTAATTTTAGTAGTGGCAGATCTAGTAGCTGAAGTAACTATGGGGGATCAAATCATTAAAAGATGTGAACGTTTTCGACATCTTGGGTCCATTGTTCAAAGTGATTTTGATATAGATGGGGATGTTATTAGAAGAATTCAAGTTAGTTGGTTGAAGTGGAGGAAAGCATCAGGCCTATTGTTTAACAGAAAAAGTACCGCTTAGACTTAAGGGTAAATTTTATAAGATGGTAGTGAGACCTGCAATGTTTTATGATGCAGAATGTTGGCTTTTACAAGGGTAAGCATAAAACTATGTTGAGTGTTTTTGAGATGAGAATGTTTAGGTAGATGAGTGGCTTGACACTTAGGGACAAAATGTGAAATGAACGTATTTGTGAAAGAGTTGTTGTAGCTCCAATGGCGGATAAGATTAGATGGTCGTCGTAGAAGGTTTGGTCACATTAAACATCGATTATCTGATGATCCAGTTAGGAGAGTAGATGTTTTAAAGTCAACATAAGAAAGACATAGATAGACCTAAAAAAATTTGGACATATTGTATAATAAATGATCTTAATTTATTAGAATTAAAGGAAAATATGACACTTAAATAGGGCACAATGGAGAAAAGGATTCATGTAGTCGAGCCCACTTATTGGGGTAAAGAATATTGTTATTATTGTTGGTAATCTAAAATGAGGAACATTTTAGATATCTCGGGTTTATTATTCAAAGTGATGGTGATATTAGTAGAATTCAAGTTGAATGATTGAAGTGGAGGAATGCATCAGGTCTATTGTGTGATAAACATGTACCGCTCATACTCAAAGGAAAATTTAATTAGATAGTGGTGAGACCTGCAATACTTTATGGCGTGGAATGTTAGACTATAAAAGAGAAGCATAAAACTAAGTTAAGTGTTGTTAAGATGAGAATATACTTACGTGGATGTTCGAAACAAAATGTGAAACGAATATATTCGTGAAAGGTTTCTAGCTCCAGTGGAAGAATAGATTCAAGAGAGTCGTCTAAGATGGTTTGGTAACATTAAACGTCAACCATCCGATGATCTGATTGGGAGAGGAGATGTTTTAGATTGAACTTATGTTAAGAAAGGAAGAGGTAGACCTCAAAAAAACTTGGGCATGTTGTATAAGAATTGATCTTAATTCATTAGAATTAAATGAAATTATGACACTTAATATGACATAATGGAAAAAAGGAATTCACTTAGCCGACCCCACTTATTGAGATAAAGGCTTGTTGTTGTTGGTAATTTAAAATTTCAATGCAAGGAGACCTCAAAATTATGACTTCAATATAGTGCCACCTTAAGCAACATTGGAATTACAATAAATCATACATGTCATAGATCTAGAATACAGTAAACTTAAACCAAGAAAAATCGATAAGAATTCAAAGAGAACATAAGGGAAATTGGATGCTTAAAATTTTTAAAATCAAAATACATGCATACAAATAAAAGAAAGTTAAAAAGGTTTTAGTCCGTCTAGAATTCTAAACGGGCTAGAGAACAGAGAGTACTAACCATTTGTGGCTAAAGTAATGATATAAAAGCAATAGTAGCTCAGCAAAGTTGAAGCTTGTCCATCACTCCATTTCTTTCCATAAAGTAGTCTCATGAGACAATATGAGTAACTTGGGCCAAAAGCAATGGCTACAAGACCTACAATGATTTAATAACACAACAAAATAGATGGCAATGAGATTAAAAAAAGGGACATTTACATACATACCACCCAATTCCTATGTATTTATATATCCAACACCTAAACTTACTTTTTACATTAGATCACCCAATTTTTTCATATCACATCAAAAATACCACTATTTTAGTGAAATACACTTTTTCATGCATATAGATAAGGATGCAGCCAATTTGGCCTAGTGGTTGAGAGCTTTGTCTTTCAATCAAAAGATTTTGGGTTCAAGGCCTTATATATGCACTATGCATGTGAAAAAAAAAATGCATGGGTAAGGATGCATATATGTAAAATTTGAAGTTGAGGTATTAGATCTGTAAATACATAATAATTGAGTGGTATGTTTGTAAGCCTTCCTTTGCAAAGTAAAGAATCATTAAGCTAACTATTAATGAGATAATCAACAATACATAAACCAAAATTTGTGCTTATTTTTCCATATGTTGAGCTCGTAAATGGTGTTTAGATAAGTTTAGGCGTGTTTAGTTTTCTCTGTTTGAATGACTAAAACAGAATGAACACAAACAAGCCATAACAAGCAGAGCTGATGCTATCCGACCGATTCAACTAGTTTTATTAACAGCAGCCATAATGCCCAAAAGTATTAAGACCATAAGACCTTCAACAACCTGTTCTCATCCTTTCCACCCCTAGAGGTTTGCATAGATGGACATTCAAAAATCCAACAGAGCACAAGAAATATTACTAAATCATATAGTTTTCGTAGCAAACTTAAATCTAAACAAATAACATTTCAGATAAAGATGTTGTTGACAAAAGGGGCAAGTAATTCTAAAAGCATACCAATCAATGATACAAGCTTCAATGCATCTGTTAATGAATTTGCTAACACAGTGATCTTTTGGGGGGAGTCTCCTGTTCAAGAAGAAAGATGAAAAGTTGGTTCCTGCATAATAAGAATGACTCGAAGATTATGACAGTTATTGTCACATCTAGACATCAGAAATAAATGTTGAAATACAGAAAGTAAAGAGTCTATATACAACTAAAGACCATCCAACATTAATTAAGTACAAACAAGAAAAAACACGAACCACATAATAAATATTAAAGAAGCCTTAAAATCAATTTTGAAAATCATTTTTAGGCCTTATTTGGTAATGATTTTAGCTGCTGATTCTGCCTTTTAGGATGACAGAATTAGTTTTGGTTGTTTGGTCTAGCAGGATTAGCTGTTGTAGTTCACAACTCAGTTTTAGGTCAGTAGGTTTCTGGAGAAGCCTTTTTTCAAATTTCAGCATTTTCCACCATTTTAGTGATGAAAATACACGACCCAACCCCCTAAATAGTGTTAGTTAAACAATATATGGAAAAATAAATAAATTATTTGATTTATTTAAAACTAATAAAGCTAATTAATAAGATATTAACTAGTAATGTAATTCATCATTATCATCTTCTTTATAACAACCATTAGGGTTTTCAATATGAATAATCAACTTTCATTTGTTTGCATTAAATCTACACCTCGTAAAGCATTCAGAACAACTTCGATGAATGCAATCTCAGGTATATGTTTTTTTTAATATCCAATATTAATTTTCTCAGCTCATCTAATATACATAATTTTCACCTTTTAGTTGCAAAGTTATAAATCACCTTAGTTTATATTCAACCAATTATCTTCAAAAAATGCCACCCAACTTTTTTTATAAAGTAATTATTTCTATACTTACCTTTTCTAATTTTTCCACATCTATCCTGACATTTTCATTTCTATCAATCTCAATTTAAATATTGATGAATTTTTCATAGCCCGACATTGGAATATATACATCGCCGACTTACAATTTTATAGAATTTACCGTTCAAGTCTCAATGACGTCCTCTTATCATGCAAGACACCCAAGATATTTAAGTTGAATCAGTTTCTATAGAAGGTATATCACTAAATCTCTACTTATTTGTATAACAAATCTAAGATAATTAAGCCAATTGCACTTCAGCATTTAATCGTCTAACAATATTAAAAAATAATTGATAACAGAATGCTCATTCAAATTATATATCACACTCGTCTTTGTTCTAGAAATTCTAAGACGTGTTTCTAAACATTTCTTTTACTGTTCTAATTTCTAAAATTTCAATGAATGACATCAATTAGGACTACATTGAAAAAAGGCATAAAGCATACATTAAGACAACTAACTTGGGATATCCATTGTAATAATCTCCATAACTACTAAGAAAATATATGAAGTTAATGTTAATATTTATATAAATATGGGCTCTCAAAGAGAATAACATAGATGGCAATAGAAGAATTGAGAGAAGTCTACGTTGAAAAGCGAAGAGTGCGTCTCAACACGAACTCTAAAGAAGACGATATGCACAAAAAAGCAAGATTTCACCTACCTAATCCATTGTATCATATTGGGTTTATTTTGATTTTTAGGGGTCTAGCTTCTCATTGATATGAGCCCCAATGATTAATGTATGGAACTCAAAGAACACTTTCAATTAAGAGTGATTTTTCATGTCCTTTTGAGATTCATTGTACGTGTGTCCTAGGGAAAGTGACTGGTAACATAAGCAATAATGAAATAAATAAAAATTGGAACTATATTCCTAGACGTAAGCAAGTAAAGCAACATAAACATGCTGAATAAATAATTTTATTATTGCATAAATGAGTTAATAATTTACAGCAAATAAGGTTATATCGAATTATAGGTTAACAACAAGAACATGTAAATCCTAGGGCTAATATTTACAAGGAAATGAACACAAAGGCGAACATGTTGGAAGAGAGGACAATCAGATGGCCGACCTCTTGTGAACCATTGAGTAAAGAAATTTCCAATAACCCATGTGGTTAGAAGGACATATCACCTAGGGTTAGAAATTAACCAATGTAAAAAAAAATCTATTAATTGGCTAAGAGATGTCAGTCTTTTCTAGCTTGAAAAGGCAACGACACTAATAACTACAAAAATGACCTAAAGGAATATCAAACAGGAGCACGTAGAAGATAAAAAAGGGTAAGAAAATGTGCTCGGGGTATTATCTCTTGTAGGGTTATGACTGCAAGGCTCAATAAACAAGAGTAATGCACTGAGAAGACGACATATGACTTCTAGAAATTACTGTGAGCTAGGTTGACTGCTACAGAGCAGAATTCTTCTATGTGGCCTCCTTGAATCATACAGGGAAGACCAAACCAAGAAAGGAATGGTGAACTTGCCAACCCAAAATCAATCGTGTTGGTAAACCATAGAGGAAAGCCAGGCCTGTGCTGATGTCACATTTTTTATTGTCAGTAAAACATGAGGATAGGAATATCATGTTGTTAGATAAAAGAAGATAAAGATGTCAAAATTTAGCCACCAAAAGGCAAATTTTGGTGGGATCTACACACCTTGCTTGGGGATAGCAAAAAGATACATTGAGATGTCAAACTTTAGTCTACTTGAAGTTGGCCATAAAAATGCGGTGCCTAAAGGATGTCTCCATGAGAGTGCTTGTTGAATTTTTGGCAGTTATTGTCAACAAGAGAATAGGCAAGGGATCAACCAATGGATAGGCTAAAGTTATCCACCATGTCGACTGAGAGACATCAACAAGACAACACTAACGCTTCCAGCAAAGATGTCAGGAAACTCATATGCAAGACAAACGCATAGGATATGTCGACCAATGTACAACCAGTCATCAATCGAGGTCACAAGAAGACATTGGACAAGACAATGGAGGGATTGCCTAGGGGCTGAGTTAAAAAGGAGGTCAATAAATAAGGCCCCAAAATGGATGGTCTTTAACGCAGAACATTCCTCATGTTTAGGGACCAACACTTTACAGTTATGTAGAGATTTACATAAGGATATTATTTGAAGCTCCCCAACTATACAACATTCACATAAGCTTGTGCCCAATAGACTTCAAATATGGTAGCCGCCATTTTGAATGAACAACCTTTATTCCCTGCTTATTTATATGTCTGAGCCAACGCTGTCACAAATCAAAATTTACAGTGGAATGAACAACAGCCATATCTCCACAACTGAAAATCATGGAAAGTGTTCTGATTTTTTTTCCTGAGTAACCAACATGGCTCTCTCGAGTGTCATTCTAACCACAACAATTCATAGTTAAATTATACTTCTCCTCATGAAACTGCACAACTGAAATGAAGTTGTGTGAACTCAAGCACATGTCTCACCTTTTGGATCTTCCAAACCATCCCATCAATCATTTTTTAGCTGATGACATCAACACCAACAATATTCAAAGATTAACCATTAGCAAGATAAACAATTCATGATCAATGCCAAGGATTAATAGAGCATTCAACAAAAAAATATCAAAGCATTTTGTACCTCTTAGGTGATTGTATTCAACACATCATAATTCTTACCATTATTCTTCCTTAATGCTCTATAGTTCTTCAAGTGACGAGTCTGCTCACAAATATAGCAATCCACATTCCATTCATTCATGAATTCGCTTCAATCATTATTTGATTTTCCCTTGTTATCATTACCCTTGTTGGAACACATCTCAAACTTATACCTTCAAACATTTAAAGCAGAATTTGGTGTTGAAACTTATCCAAAATGTCTCCTTCAAACCTCCTTTACAAGAATGGTATCACAGACATTATCAAACTTCAATTTTGAATTCCTCATAGAATTACTTACAACGGTCATCATATCATAAGATCCCAACTATTTGGTAAATTCAATAGAGTTATGGTACATACCTCATCATGAAATAGAATCCCCGTAGAAACTAAATGATTCACAATGATGCTGAACTTATTTGGGTGTTGCCCCACCCTCAACCAACTTGATCAATTAATTTTTCATAAAATATATTTTGTTGCATGTTAATGGTTGCTCATATCAAGCTAATTCATCAAAGCACAATGGTCTTCATCTCTTTCATATTCTTCGACAATGCCAAACGGACCACTCCTAGAACCAATCTATCAAGAATATTTCACTCATCATCTTTCAAGTCTTAGCTTCTGGTCCAAGAGCAAGGCATTTTCTTAATATTAAGATAATATGAGATATGCATCCTCCATAGTGCTAAGTTCAATCCATCAAACTTAATGATTCTATGGCATCATTCTCAATCAAAACTAAATGCCTTGATACCAGTTGCCTGAGATAGACAAAACTTATACAAACACAGCTAAAAATAGAAACACAAAACAAAGATGAAAAAACAAAAAATTTATATAGGTTCACCCAATTGATGGTCACTTCACATTATCATCACAAGCATATTTCAATGTGAATTTATTATGGAGAAAAGAAACCCTAATTTCTCTGGTATAACACAAAAATCTCTCTCTCTCTCTCTTCTCTCTCTCTCTCCCTCTCCCTCTCACACACACACACACACTATGAAAAAAACCACTAGGACAAAAAAATACAAAAAAATTTCCAAAATGATCTTAATCAAGACCCACCAACTAAATCCTTGTGGCATATTATTCTACTTAGGTAAAAAATTAACAATACCTTCAGGCTAATCTCTTCAATATGTTTTTCCTTCGTTAAACTACGAATATCATAACCCGTGTCTGAAGCCTACAACATACCCTCCATGTCATTGTTTTCAAGGCACCTACACCTAAAGCAAATAACATATCATCCAATTCATCTTAAGTTTCAAAGGTTGATATTTCAATATAACACCATTCAAGAAAGGTGCTCCTAAATGAAGGGTGTAGCAAAAAAAAAAAAAAAACTGCAAGTGAGCCCACAATCCTTGAGATAACTTGATATTTACCCCCACCAAAACTGCCATACCATCCCTTCTATTCCAAATAAAGAGATGAAAGCAGAAGATCTCTCTATGTTCAGGTCTTCTACCTCCAGATTCCATGAAACACTAATTCTCTAGTT